GTGTGTCTGTCAAGACGTGTGTCTGTCAAGACGTGTGTGTCTGTCATGGTATGTGTGTGTCTGTCATGGTGTGTGTGTGTGTCTGTCATGGTGTGTGTGTGTCTGTCAAGACGTGTGTGTGTCTATCATGGTATGTGGGTGTCTGTTGTGGTATGTCTGTGTCTGTCATGGTGTGTGTGTCTGTCATCTGTCCTGGTAAATGTGTGTGTCTGTGTCTGTCATGGTGTGTCTGTGTGTGTTTAAAAATAGTGTTTTCACTCACTTTTTTTTTTTCCCACGCCGTGCTGCGGGGCTGGCATAGATTTTTTCCAAGGCTGCTTTGTATCCCCAGTCCGGCCCTAGTTCCTTGAATGTTCGTAGATCTGTTCGAGCAGTACCCCTGTGAGCTGGAACCCTGTCTAGGATCTTCGGGATGTGCTGAGAGCAACCTGAAAAGTTCTGCCTTCCAGCTGAGATCCTGGGGATAGTCCAAGACCTTAGTGACTCTGGTGTGGAAGGTTCTTGGAACTCTGTGGGTGTACCATGTCTGACAGGGGTACTAGGCTTATCGTGAGTGCTAGGGGGGGATGATTCTTCACCTATATTGGCTTCCTGGGACATACTGGAAAGAAGATACAAGTACCAATTAATGGATAACACAATTCCCCTCATGTTTGTAGAGCTGGCTGACTGACTAGTGCCAAAGCAAAAAACGAACTACCCCATGACAGGTGAGGCCCTGCTAGTTGTCAAGCACCAGAGGAGATGCTCTTTCTATTATTTTGGCTGTGGTGCTCGAGCCACTGAATGTTGTGGTGGGGTGTTGGCCTCTTGGTGACAGTAAAAGATTCAAAACGTGTGGCCGTGACAGGTGAGGCCCTAACTAAAAACCGAAAAGGTGGGTGATACGAGGCTATGTCTATGATGTGAGCCGATTGGGCGAAACCTCCATGTTGAGGTAGGGAGTTGGCCTTGAGGGACCAGCTAACATATGTTACACTAAGTCCAGCACCTGACCCTATACAGCCAGTTCTCTAACCCTAAAGGAGTGCTTGATAAGAAAATGAGAATGTAGGAAGATAATGTACCTAGCAAACCACAATTTGTGACTCTTGAAAACAAGAGGTAATAGATGAGACCTAGAAAAGTTAAATAAGCATCATCTAATTGCTATCGTGATGGAGAGTAGAATTAAATAGTGCAACCAACAAACCTATTGCGTGATAAATGTCTGAGGACAAGAGGTAGGATAGAATGACAGAACCAACATATAAAAAATGTATAGATTAAATATTCTAGAGACCCACCAGACAAGGTTATAATTTTTTAAATGCATAAGGATAGATAATTAAAACGAAAGAAGTGGTGAGAGCACATACAGAACAAGTTACAATAGTTACCCCTATGTCCAATATAGAACCTGTAAAAATACAATAGAAAAAACATACATAGGGTAATAACGTACAAATAATAAATAGATGAGTAAATAATTCTATAAACTCATATTTCTGAGCCACTTAAAAAGCTGGCTCAGACTAGGAAAGTTGAATGGGTTAATGTGATGATAGCACTGTGGAAGGTAATTGTATCACAGGCAGAGGGGAGGATTTTGTGTGGGAGTGTCTGAGTGTATTTTACGTTTATTGGTTGTTTTACAAAACCCTGTGGGTGGTACTAATGTGTAAGAATGTGTATATAAGAAAAATAAACCCACAGCTCTGGCTGTTCCTGCTTGACCCTCAAAACGGAGCCTTGTCTCGTTCTTGGGGGGATTTATTGTATGTAGAGATGTCGCGAACCGTCCGCAAACTTCTCGCGAACGGTCGAACTCCGGTCAGCTGACACATCCCGGCCAATCTCCGGCAGACCCTCCCTCCCAGACCCTCCTACTTCCTGGACAGCATCCATGTTAAAGGCAGCTTCAACATGGATGCTGTCCAGGAGGTGGGAGGGTCTGGGAGGGAGGGTCTGCCGGAGATTGGCCGGGATGTGTCAGCTGACCGGAGTTCTGACCGAGTACCTCCGCCAAGTCTGCTTCCTCGTAGCTATCAAGGACCTTGGAGAATTTCAGACCCAGTCGCCGAGGCTTGACTGGGATCACTGAGGGCCTTTTCCACCCTGGACCAAACACCAGATGACACTTGGTGAAGGTTAAAACAGCAACTAACTTTACTAGACATAGCACATATATTTTAAGCCCCCAACAGCTTCATTTACATACAATAGGGTGCATAGATTACAATAGTACAAGTAATGGTGGGGTCAGACAATAGAAAGGGCTGATTAGAGATTGAGAAGGGACAAAGCATCTAGTTTAAACTGATCTGGCAGTGTCTGTGGGACAACGCCCTGCTGGGGAAACAATGGGACAGGAAAAAGGAGGAGGTGGGGAGGCACAGACAAGCAATACATTCAACATAGCCTGCACCAATAATGGGCACAGGGTGACCAAAACACAAAAGGAATCTAGGGACCCACACATAGTGTCTGTCTTCTATCCCCAGTGACGGTGATCACCGTCACACACCCGTTCCTTTGGACCCCTTTGGATATAATGTGGCCGTAGTGAGGCAGAGCGTAGTAATTGGGATAATGAACCATGTATAAGTGCTACGAAAGTAATGAACTCAACAAAATACCTTGCATAAGTACAGGAGATAAATAACAGACAGGAAATACACGGATTAGAGAGGACAGATGACTCTTGCAATACCTGGAATACAGGCCTTTGGCCTTTAAACATATCATATAAATATATGATTCATGCACTTAAACGGCTTCATTCAGCTAAAGTTGTTTTGGTGACTATAGTGTCCCTGTAAGGCTGTAGGAAGATTTGTGCTTAATCAAAGATTGATAACATCTTGTTTTTTTTTCCTTTTAACATTTCGTCTATTTTGCCCTTGCGTGTTTCTGGGGGAATCTTGTCTCCTAAGGTCTTTTTTCTTGTTGAGAACTCAACTTTACATTTACTGCAACATAACTTTATTTTAGAGTTTTTTCTTTTAGTTTTTTTAAATTATAAATATAGCAACATATTGGCAACTTACCGCTTATTTTTCAAATGTGTGAGCTAGCTAGTATTTGGTATGTTTGTTTAGATTATTATCATTATTATTATTATTATTGCCATTTATATAGCGCCAACAAATTCCATATACACATTGTTCTCAAAAACTGCTGTAGTGTATAACCCCTTTGGATATAATGTGGCCGTAGTGAGGCAGAGCGTAGTAATTGGGATAATGAACCATGTATAAGTGCTACGAATCTTGTCTCCTAAGGTCTTTTTTCTTGTTGAGAACTCAACTTTACATTTACTGCAACATAACTTTATTTTAGAGTTTTTTCTTTTTGTTTTTTTAAATTATAAATATAGCAACATATTGGCAACTTACCGCTTATTTTTCAAATGTGTGAGCTAGCTAGTATTTGGTATGTTTGTTTAGATTATTATCATTATTATTATTATTATTATTGCCATTTATATAGCGCCAACAAAGTCCATATACACATTGTTCTCAAAAACTGCTGTAGTGTATAACCCCTTTGGATATAATGTGGCCGTAGTGAGGCAGAGCGTAGTAATTGGGATAATGAACCATGTATAAGTGCTACGAAAGTAATGAACTCAACAAAATACCTTGCATAAGTACAGGAGATAAATAACAGACAGGAAATACACGGATTAGAGAGGACAGATGACTCTTGCAATACCTGGAATACAGGCCTTTGGCCTTTAAACATATCATATAAATATATGATTCATGCACTTAAACTGCTTCATTCAGCTAAAGTTGTTTTGGTGACTATAGTGTCCCTGTAAGGCTGTAGGAAGATTTGTGCTTAATCAAAGATTGATAACATCTTGTTTTTTTTTCCTTTTAACATTTCGTCTATTTTGCCCTTGCGTGTTTCTGGGGGAATCTTGTCTCCTAAGGTCTTTTTTCTTGTTGAGAACTCAACTTTACATTTACTGCAACATAACTTTATTTTTTCCAATTTGAAATTTTATTTTCATAAAGACAAGGAAATGGGGTACAGAAAAGAAGGGGAAACTTCAAATTTACATAGTGGGGTCGTACAATTGCTATACATTTTCGACATACAGTTGTAATTAAGGGGGGGAACGAATAGGAGGGAGGGGAGGGGGTAGCTCCCTGACACAATTTGACCTTCCTTACTTAGTATTACCTTGATATCGTGGTGTTTCAGTAGGTGATGCTCATGGGGGGGTCTGCTGTCGGACGGGGAGTTTGCTCATTTAGTTACGTGAATTGTCGTTATACTAAGTTTTGCGAATATGGTTTATTTCATTATTGTTCGAGGTCCCCTGTCTCCAGGGGGGAAGGGTGTCGTTGTGGGCAGGGTGCCTGCAGTGTGTTGAGGGTATAAGGTGAGAGTGGGGGGTCCCCGTGTATTGAGGGCGAGTAACAGGTGGAGGGGAGTAGCAGCGTGGTACCGGTTTGCGGCTGTTGGTGGGTCCTAGGATAGTGACCTCTATGTCACAGGGTGGGTTGGTAAGTGTGTCGGGTGATCGGTGTTGGTTTAAAGGGTGGTGTCGTTTTGGTAGCCAGTGCTGTGGCTTCTTTGCGGGCTCGTTAATGACTGTGTTGGTGTTGTGTGAGCTGTTGTGTGTAGTTTCGCCATATTGTGGCGGTGTAGGGGCTCAGTTTCCCGATTTTTGCCTGCTTCCACATGATGAGTTCGTACTCCATTGCCAGTGTTACTTCTGTTTCAACTTCCCGGATGGAGGGCAAGTCCGCTGTTTTCCATTTTCTGGCTATTAATATGGACACCGTGCCCAGTATGATGTATATCAATTTCTTGATCGGTTTTGGAAAGTGGTCTGGGAGCAATCGGAGTAGGATTGTTTTAGGGTCGAGAGCTAAGTGGAGATTCGTGACACTTCTTACAAGTCGGACTGTAGCTTTCCAAAGATCTTGCACACTATCGCATGTCCACCACATATGCATCATAGTTCCTTTAGTTGCATGGCAGCGCCAGCATAGGTCTGAAGTGTTGGGAAATATGGTGTGCAGTCGGGTCGGTACCATGTACCATCGGTATAGGATTTTCCTGGATGCTTCCAGGTGTGCTGTACTTGTTGTGAGCCCTATATGAGAAGTGAAAATCTTTTCCCATTCGTTTGGGGGTATTGTGACCTGGAGGTCTGTCTGCCAGTCCTGCATAAACTTCCATGTGTCGCTGTTTTTAGGGTTGGCAAGGTGGTCGTAACAGGTGGAAACTGTTTTCCTTGGAGGGGCTAGGGAGAGGCATTGTGCTTCAAATTTCGTTATGGACGATCTCAGTGAGTGTTCCATGTCTTTGATTACGTTGTGGGTTATTAGCGCTTTGATTTGTAGATAAGCGAATGTGTAGCTTGGGGGGAGGGCAAATTCTTTCTGTAGGTCTGGGAACGGTTTGAGACCTGCCTTGGTGCACAGTTGGTAGACATGTGTAATTCCTTTTTCTGCCCATTTATGATGTGGAAACAAGCCATTGCATTGGTGCAGGGTCCGAATTGGAGTTGCCAGAGCCACGGGTGTGCGGAGCACAGTTGGTCCCTGTAGGTGTCCCATATTGTGAGAAGGTGTTTGGTGGTGTTCAGCATGGTTGTAGGTTGCTGTCGCAAGTGCCGGGGTATCCAGAGCATTGTAGGCAGGTCCTGGTTCTCACTGTACTTATTTTCTACCGCTACCCATTGGGGGATGTACTTGGCCGAGTGAACACTGACTACATTCGCAAGGATGGCGGAGTGATAATACGCTTTGAGATTAGGGAGGCCCATACCTCCATGTTTCGCATTCCTCAACAGAAGTGATTTGGGGACTCGGGGGTGTTTGCCGCCCCAGCTGAATCTGAGGAGGGTAGCCTGTAATTTTGTGAGGTAGCTTTGTGGGATTTTGATTTGTAGTGTCCGGAAGAGGTAGAGAATTTTAGGTAGAATTGTCATTTTCAGTGCTGCTATTCTTCCGACCCATGATAGGTACAGGCCCCTCCACGTTTGCAGCTGGGTGTCTATATCTTTGTGCAGCTTTACGTAGTTGGTAGGGAATCTCTCCAATCGAAGCAATGGCCGGATCTCAGGAGTGTTTCTATGTGTTTTGGTGTGTTGAGGCACATTGCCTGTGTCTTAGCCACGTTGAGCTTGTAATAAGATTGTTGACTGTATGCATGTATTTCTTTGTGCAGGGAGGGGAGTGTTATAAGTGGTTGTGTGAGTGTGAGGAGGATGTCATCGGCAAATAGGCTTAGTTTATATTCTGTTTGGCCCACTAGTACACCTCGGATGGAATCGTTGGATCGAATTGCTATTGCCAGGGGTTCTAAGGCTAGCACATAAAGGAGAGGGGACAGTGGGCAACCTTGTCGGGTTCCGTTGGTAATGGGGAAGGCCTGTGAACTAAATCCTGAGGTGAGTACCGTCGCCCTGGGATCACTGTATAGGGCACTGACTGCAGAGAGTAAGGGTGCTGGGAATCTGTAGGCCTGTAGGGTTTCCTGGAGGAATTGCCAGTTCAGGCGATCGAACGCCTTCTCGGCGTCTAGGGATAGCATGACGCTCGTTTGTTTGGTGTTTTTCAATATGTTGTATAGGTCTAGTACTTTCCTGGTGTTATCCGACCCTTGCCTTCCTGCTACAAATCCCACCTGGTCTGTATGAATTAGTGTTGGTCTTGAGTCGTTCTGCGTAGATTTTGGCATATAGCTTTGCGTCTGCATTCAGGAGAGAGATTGGCCTGAAGTTTTGGCATGTGGTCGAGGGTTTCCCTGGTTTGGGGATAGTGATAACATGTGCCGCTAAGAACTCGGTGGGAAAGGTACCCAGTCGGGTGGCTTCATTGAAGAAGCATGTGAGGTCTGGGGCAATTTCTGCCTTGAAGGCCATGTAATAAGCGTTAGTGTAGCCGTCCGGGCCTGGGGCTTTATTTTTCGGCATTTTGTCTATCAGGGTGAGCACTTCGTCTGTGGTGATTGGTGCTGATAGTTGTGCTGCGTGCTGTTCAAGGAGTTTGGGGAGGGCAACCTGTGCCAGGTAGTTGCGAATTGATGTGGACGTGGGTTGGGCCAGGGAGTGCTGATTTTTCAGGTTGTATAAGGTGGTATAATAATGTGCGAACTCATTGCAGATTTGTGCGGGTTGTATTATCTTGGCCCCGGTGTGTGAGTTTATGAATGGGATGCGGGCTTGTGCCTGCTTCATCCGGAGTCGCTGTGCCAATACTTTCGTTGCTTTGTTTCCCATTGAGTAGGAAGTTGCTTTGAGTTTTTTTTATGCTATGTTGGCTTTCTTGAGATGAATTGCTTTAACTTCGTCTTGCGTTGTTTGCAATTTCTGTTGAAGGCTCTTGGAGGGGTGTAGTTGGTTTTCCCTATGGAGGTCTTGGATCCGTTTGAGAAGGTTCAGCAATGCAGTATGTGTTGTTTTCTTAAGGTAGGACGCTCGGCTGAGTAATAGCCCTCTGATGACCGGCTTGTGCGCGAGCCACAGTGTGGCTGGGTTTACCTCGCCGGAGCCATTGGCTTGGAAGTATTGTTGTATTTCTTCTCGTATTTTGTTGGTAAAGTCTACATCGCTCAGTAAGTGTTCGTTCAGCCTCCAGGGGCTGCGGTGTTGGTATATGTAGGAATCGATCAGGGTGAGAGACACTGGGTTATGGTCAGAGATTGTAGAGGCTTCTATCTCACAGGATTTGATCTGTTGTAGCTGTGAGCTGTGTATTAGGTAGCCATCTATGCGGGAATATGTGTTGTGCACTTGTGAGTGATGGGTGTATTCCCTGTCCGTTGGGTGAAGGGTTCTCCAAGCGTCGTAAAGCCCATATGATGCTAGTGTTTTGTGCAGAGAGATGCATTGTTTGCGTAGGGCCTTTTTCCTCTTGTGTGTGTGTGTGGCTGTGGAGTCTGCAACAGGGTCGAGGATATGGTTAAAGTCCCCGCAGAGAACTAGGGTGCCCATCTGTATTTTCTCGATCTTATCTAGTAGCGTGGCCATATATTGGGGTTGGTTCTCGTTTGGGAAGTAAGAGTTGACTATTGTGTATGTGTTGTTGTTTAGCATGCAGATGAGAATGATATACCTTCCTTGCGGATCTATCTGGGTTGTTACTAGGTCAAAGGCCAAGGTGTGGCTCACCATGATCGACACTCCTCTGCTTTTAGATGGGGACGTGGCATGATATTGGTGGGGAAAATGTTTAAGCCCAAGGATGGGTTTAGAGCCATGTTTGAAGTGGGTTTCTTGCAGGCATATGATGTCTGCTTGTGAAGTTCGGATCTCTTTGAGGAGATTGTATCTCTTATGGGGCGCGTTTAGGCCTCTCACATTATGGGTATATATTTTCATTGTCGTGACCAGTGGTAGGTCACTTGGGTTGGTGCAGAGATGTAGGTTCTGAGTTGGGGGTCGGTGCCTTTGTTTGCGTCTCAGGAAGACCCGCTCGTATAAGTTGTGAGGTCTAGGTTGGGTCGGGTGTCGGTACCAGGGGTGGGGGCTAACAGTAGGGGTAGAGTATTAAAACCTGGGGGTGTATAGTTAAACAGTAAACTTTACAAAAAAAAGAATATACAAAGGGTACTTTCGGGGGTATGTGCCGGGAAGGGCACTTCTCAAGCGGGGGTAGTGCGGTCGGGTCGAATCCAGCTGACAGCTATCTAGGGCCTACCTTGTGCAGGCCCCACCCGCAAATATGTTAGTTTAGCAAGTGTATGGGTGCGCTTGGTTCTCACCCTGTCTTAGGGTGCCGCTGCAGGGGGGGGGGTTGTTGGGTGAGCGCCCCGGTACAGGCATATAGGGTGGCGCATATGGCTTTGAGTCGTAGTGGGCAACACGGGGGGGGTTTGCTCATAGGGCCCTCTAATCTGCATGTCGTATCGGCATGGTGGTCTATTTATCGAGGGGGCGGTACTTTGCTAACATTTTGGTGGTTTTGTCCCCGCCATTAGGATTGCTGTGGGAATAGTTGCGGCCTGTCTGAGTGTGCCTAGGCGCGCTCTGGGTGCATCGGACAGGTGCATGGAAACAGTAAAAAACACAATTAAACATATATACAGGTTGCAGTTGTTACATCGCTTCCTCCATTCTGGCAAAGGTGGGCTATGAGAGATTGACACCTCTTAATCTTACATGGTGTCCCAGCAAACTTAATCGCATGTAGTCTAGTACATTCATATACCCGGGAGGGCTCGCTAAGGGAATAGAGAGGGAGTAGGCGTTAGGGAGATTAACATTGGGGCGTCATCAGGCCTCTAAAGCCTTTAATCGGTGCATGAAAGCCCATACATTATTGACTACATACGTGGTCTCTAGGGGTCGTTTCAAGTCAAATGCCATGGGGAGGTTAAATGTGGCTGATCCTGTGGATCATTAGTCTTGTCACTTAATTTGTATCTTACTCTGTTCCTGCAATATATAAAGAAAAACTTTTTTCTTTTTTTTTTTGTATATGTTTTACAGTAAATAGAGGTCGCCTGCAATTTGTCAACCCTTTTGGTATGTGGTTATTCTAGTCAGCAATCATTTTTAACAACAATCTATAGCCAAACATGTTTTAGGTTTTAAAGAAAGTAAAAACACTTGCTATTCCAGGTATGGTTAGTGGTCATCGTCCCTGGAGGTAGCTCGCCGTTGTCGCTGAGGACGGCCGTCGATATTCTGTGTCTTGCGCAGGCCTGGTGTTTGTAGGTTTGGGGCTATGTCCCATTTGTGCAGCAGCTCCAGGCCTTCTTTCGGTGAGGCGGCTATGAGTTGCTTCCCTCCTTTGGTGATGAGGAGTTTCGCTGGGTAGCCCCATCTGTAGGGAATGCGGTGGTGTCTTAGAGCCCCTGCTACTGGTTTGAAGGATCTTCTCCGCCGGAGTGTCTCCGCCGACAGGTCCGTAAAGAGGAGGATAGGTTTAAATTTATCAGGCAGGTCTTTTCTAGTTCTGTGTGCACGGAGGATTTGGTCTTTTGTGTGGTAATAGTGGAGCCGCATGAGCACGTCTCGTGGCACGGTTGGTGGTAAGTGTTGCGGTCTCGGGATTCTGTGGATGCGGTCTAATAAGAGCATGTCAGCGGGTATGTCTGGCAAGACCGCGCGGAACAGCTCCATGGTGAAGGCCGTTAGGTCCTGGGCTTCCACATCCTCTGGGACCCCTCTGAGCCTGATATTGTTGCGGCGAGACCTGTCTTCTGCATCTGTGATTTTGGTTTCATGTAGAGACAGTCTCCTTTCGATATCCTCTAGTCTGTCTTCGATAGCTGCATGGGCTGTGGTAGTTACTTCCATTTTTTCCTCTAGTTGGGA